TCTTTGCAATCACCTGTTATGCATCAGATTATTGCACAATGACTCGGAGGATAGAAGGTGATTTGATGCCTTGGAGCTCTGCTACTGGAGAAGAGTTGATTGTACCATGGACTGCTAAGAAAAAAACCAGATTCATCCTGGATAGGGTTAAACCAGGCTGCTCCTTGGAGGCATAGATTCTGAGGCTTCGTCTGACATACTTTGGTCATGTTGTAAGGAGAGCCTGGTCCTTGGAGAAAAATATCATGGTTGGGAGGGTGGAGGGCAGGCACTGGAGGGGAAGGCCCTCATGATTAATTCAGTGACTGGGATAATTGGAATGGGTTTATCAGAGACAGTGTGATTGGCACAGGATAGAGCAGAGTTTAGGGCTGTTGTACATAGGGTCAACTATGAGTCATAAGCGACTTGATAGCACCTAACAAAAACAACCACATTTGTAATAATACAATTTGCAATACAAATTAAATTATTCTATCTCCAACCTGTTTCTGTCACCAATTCCCTATTTTCTGGACTACTGATCCTTTTTCCTTGTTCCCAATTTTTGTATTCCAGTCACCAACTATTATTAGTCAATCTTGGTTGCATGTTTGATTGACATTTGACTGAAAAATTTTGTAGACATCTTCTATATTATTCTATCTGGCTGTATTTGTTGGTGCAAATAGTTAATGATAGTGATATTAAAAGGTTTTCCTTTTATATATATGGTATTATACTGATATTTGAGATAAATTAAAGAATTTAAAAGCTTTCAGCAAAGTTCACATAAAATAATAAGTACAGATACAAGTCTGCCTGGAATAACTTGGGGACATACATTAGTTAGATATTAAGCTGGAAAAGAAACCTCTCAGAGTGTTCTATTATTTCGTGAAAAAAATAAAATTATAAATAATAGGTTCTGTCTTTCCACTTTATCTCAGTGCCATAAAACTGGTTTTCTAAATGATTGAAACACAACTATATCTCTATCTAACATATACCTAGGATACAATTTTGTGACTTCTGCTAACAAAATGGGGAATCTACGTTTTGCATTTGTTATTTTTTTAAGACTTCTTAATTTTAGGCACAATGTAATAATTTCACGTACCAGTAGATTTTGGCAGAAATATGCATGTGACTTCAAGACCATGCCAAAAAATGTTCCAACTCCTTTTTAGCTCCCAGGAACTCTGGTAGTGTAGTGTATTATAGCATGTTGTTACAACATGTGTACAATATGCTATACATGACATCACCACCACATATATTTCAGGTCATTCCAATCTATCAGCAACTCTGTGAAATAAAGATGGAAAATCTACTCCCATTAAGATGTATATATAACCTTATAAACCATGTAGAAGGTCACCCTTAGTTCATGTCAACTAGACGGCAGAGCAGTGGGTTTCGTTTTTTGGTTTGGGTTCTATTGGAGCTTGGCCACCATGTTGTAAAAAAGCTAGGATTGGAGTATGGATTTATCTCTTGGAGAGTTGCTTATAGAAAGAAACCAAGTCTTCAAACTGACACCAACATGAACACTGAGATATGTGGGTGATAATTTCTTCAGATCATTTAATCATCCATTGTTCAAAATCCTAAAAATGAATAATATAACAGAAGATAGAAATTCTAGAATGACATCATTAATATCATATATTATCAAAATCTTGCTGAATATAAATAAAAAACCATTAGAGCAGCACAGAGAGAAATACTCAAGTTAGATTCAGAGGAGGCTGTGGAATGAGGGATATCATTAACAGAACTTAGCTGAAAGCAGTGAATACCAAAATGTTATTGTTGTGTTGTTATGTATTGTCAAGTTAACTTCAGTTTATAGCATCTTGATGAACAGGACATTGCTATTTACCCTATCCTATGCCATTTTAACAATTTTTACCGTGCTCACACCCATTGTTGCAGTCAATGTAACAATCCTTCCTGATGATCTTCCTCTATTTTACTGATCTTTACTTTTCTGAAGACATAGGTGTGTGTTTTATTGACTTGGAAGGGCATTCAACTGCATACATTTGAAGAAATTATAGATATCTTTGAAAAGAATGGAATTTCCAGAAATTTAATTGTACTCATATGGAACTTGCTTATAGACTAAGAATTAGTAATTTGAACCAAACTAGGGAATAATATAAGGTTGAAAATCAAGACAAGTATGTGTCAGGGTTTGGATCAGTTCACCATAACTATTCAATCTGTATGCTGATTAGTTTATCCAAAAATGTTACAACCTGAAGAAAAATGTGCATCAAGATTAAAGGTAGTCCCAACACAACCTGCAAGATGCAGATGACACAATATTGCTTAAGGAAAGTAAAAAGAACTTGAAGCATTTACTGAAAATCAAAGACCTTCAGTAAATGGATTAAAAACACGGTGATTACAGCACTGAATTTAAACACACAGAATTATGAGGTTATCACAGTATTGATTAGGAATCCTATCTATTTTACAAAGGGTCTCTGTGAGTTATAATTGACTTCATACAACCAAATAACAATTAATGGTGTCCTTTTCAAATGACTGATATTTTCTGATGCAAGAGAAGGATATGCAGTCTCCTCCTGTACAATGTATGGCATCCGAAACTCACTGGAGGGCCAGCTGTGAGTCACTTTCAACTTAATGCTACTCAACAAAATAAAAAACAATAACAAGAAATAGTGTTTTCATTTTCTATGTGACATCCCAGATGTCTGTAAGGAGAAGTACTCTCTGAACAAATTTATGGCACTAGATTATGTAGACTCAGTAAATGGTTGCTTTAAGCCACAGAGTTAAAAGTAATTTTAAATGCCATGGTAATGGAACAATAATAAAACTGTACCACCTGCCGTTTCTGTATATTTCTTCTATAGTATCTGAAACTATGATTATTTTTTATATTTTTAATTGTTTTCATTATAAAAATGTGAGTCCACCAGCTGTCATGCAAGAGAATGATGGGCATCCTCCTTCTGTGCAACTTACTGCCTCTGAAAACATGCTGAACTGAAGGGTCAGCTAGAGTCAGTTTTCACTTGGAAGTACACCACAATAACAACAATAATGTTCAACTTATTTGTAATACCCACAACAGCTAATTCATGTGATTAGAAGTTGGGGCTAGCTTTTGGCTGGCAGATGCGTTTGAGTTGTTGATGGCAAAACCTCATGTTATGCACAAAAAGGCAACTGTTTTCTAAGAAGAAAAAATCTGAAATATGTGTAAGAAGACACAAATTTCTGAAAACCCCAAGACACATATTTGGTCATGTCTACCAACCTCTCTTGGCCAATATGTCATAAAATCAATGCATATTAAAGAGATGAATAGATTCCACTTTGCTGTGGAAAGATAGAAAAAAAAATAGGACAATATAAATCTCACCACAATAGCAAATCAAAATTTAAAGTGAATGTAGTTTCAAATAAATATAACAAAATCAGGATAGGGACAAAGTAAAAGAAAATTAAGCTTTCAATAAAAAGGAGCAAAAATAAAAGCACTTTAAACACAACAGAAACAGGTAATATGAGATAATATTTTAAAATGCAAATCTGTCAAACAATTAAGAAAAATAATGAAAACGAAAAACAACTCTTTGAAATGACCAATAAAGTTGATAAACTTCTAGATATAATGAGAAAAAAGGTGAAGTAAGATAATAAATTAACTATTAAAAATATTTCATCACATACACATTAGGCTTGTTACACATAATATTATTACAACAAAAATTACAACTTAGAATAAATAGACATATTTCTTCTGAACTATCCAATTATTAAACCCAACTCCAGAAGAATTTTAAAAGTGTGACTTAAAGAAACTGCATTATATTTGAAAAAATTTCCACAAAATATTGTATGCTGGTAATTTTACTATTAAATGTTTCCAAATGCTTAAGGATTGGAAAATATAAACCTTTCACAAGATATTTTATAAAACAGAGGATAGAAATCGACTCCTAAATAATTTTATGAGGTTAACATATTATAGTAGTTAATTTATAAAATATGACAAGAAAAGCAAATAACAGATCAATATTCCTCATATGTATAAAAATGAACTTAAGATATTAGCAAATCAAAAACAATGATATATAAAATAACATTATTTATTAAAATATAATTTATTTTAGGACGCAAGGTAGATTTAATATTCAATTTGTCAGTATTATACTTTATCTTGCATAAAATGAAGTAAAAGTCACTTCTCCTCATGTCTCCCACTAACTGCCAGAGAAAACCCAAAAACCTCAGCTCCTGAAAGTTTATATACAACTATAAAAATATTATTAAAGGTGAAACTACAAAAGCAAATTGTCAGAAAAACTCACACCCTAAAGAATGATGTGATGGTGTAATGCCGATGATTTGATGATTTCTCTCTCACACACACACACAGGCAAGCATGAGCCCGAGCACGCCAGCCCTTCCCAATAGGGTAAATATGAGTTGTAACTAACTCAGAAGTTAAGTTCTTTTTACTTGCTTGGTTTTTCTTGTAAGTTTTGTATTTGATGATATTCAAATAATTAGGGAGCTCCTGTGGCCTAGTGGCAAGATGCTGTGTTGTAATCCTGAAGGCATGTGATTTGAATTCACCAGCTGCTCCTTGCTAGAGGGATGGTCAATCTCCTCCCTTGTGAATAAATGCCTCTGAAAACCCATGGAGGATCACCTATAGGTAAGTTCCCACTCTATGATACACAAGAACAACAACTTCAAACAATTGGGTTACAATTAATATCATTACAGTGCATATTACTTAAACCATATACATTAACACAGGAGGGGACTTTAATTATATCCATAATTTGTGCTGTGAGAAAATACATCAGTTCATTTAGTACTGAATTTGTGCTTAAATTCATATATGAAAGACTTGGAAACAACTCTATTTTAAAAGGATAAAAAATAAGAAGGCATAAAGGAAGAGAGTAAAGTATTTATTGATTTATTGGTCAAAATAACTGTGTGCTTAACTCACTTTTAAACTGCATTCAGATTAATGTTTTTGCTGAAAGTGTCCTTTTTATAATATCTTTTAATGCTTGTTTCACCTGCTGATTTCTTAGAGTGTAAATAAAGGGGTTCAGCATAGGAGCTACAGAAGTATTGAGCATAGCAACCACTTTTGTCAAAGCAACACCTTCCTTTGCTGATGTTTTTACATACATGAAAATGCAACTGCCATAAGAGATGGACACCACAATCATATGGGAGGAGCAGGTTGAGAAAGCCTTTTTTCTCTGTTGAGCTGAGGGGATTCTCAGAATTGTTCTAAGGATGTAAGTATAGGAAATAATTACTAATGTCAAGGTTGACAAGAGAGTAAATACAGCTAAAATAAAGCTCATGAGTTCTAGAGTACTTGTGTCTGTACAAGAGATTTTCAGTAAAGGAGCTGAGTCACAGGTGAAGTGATCAATGACATTGGAGTCACAGAAATCCAGCCCTAGGCCCATTATCAATGGTGGAAAAATAATCAAAAAACCAGCCACCCAAGAGCTAATTACAAGTTGATAGCAGATCTTGCTACTCATGATGGTTGTATAGTGTAGAGGTTTACAGATAGCCACATACCGATCACAAGACATAGAAGCTAAAAGGAAAAATTCAGTTGAACCAAGGAGGATAAAAAAAAATAGCTGAACTGCACAAGCATTATAGGAAATAGATTTGTTCCCAGTAATGATACTGACCATAAATCTAGGATTGCAGACAGAAGTAAATGAAATTTCTAAAAATGAGAAATTTCTGAGGAAGAAATACATGGGAGTCTTTAGGTGCGAATCCAGTAGAGTAAGAATGATGATAATTAGGTTTCCTGTAACACTCAGAATATATGTGAGGAATAAAAAGAAAAAAATAACAATCTGTAGTTTTGGATTATCTGTCAAACCCATGAGGATGAAATCTGTCACTGCTGTTCTATTTTTCATTTTTGATGATATTTTTTTTTACAGTCCTTCCTGGTAAAAATCAAGAAAGAAAGCAATGAATCAGTCTGAAGACAAACATAAATAGTACATTTTTTTAAATTCTCAGTTGTATGTTTCTATCAATTACATGAAAGTGCTTTTTTTGTGTGTATTTTATATACATACAACACATAAATATGTGTGTGTCATAGAGTTGGAATAAACCCATAGCTGACCCTCCAGCAGGTGTTCAGAGACCATTACACAGGAGATATATATATATATACATACACACACACAACACATATATGTATGTCTGTATTTCATATATATATATGTA